AGAGAGAGAGTTTGGAATTCCTCAGATTGCTCACCTCCAACGTCCCCCATGCCTCCTTTTTCTAGGCTGGCCATGCAACCTCAGAGATTGTGGGCGCACTACCTCTGTTGTCCTTCCCTGGACAGGTGGTAGTGCTCCCCTCTACCTTCCTTACGCGTGTAAAGGCCAAAACCTCCAAACAGCGTGTGTGGAACTGCCAAATAGTATTAACGCATGCCACAAGTGGATTTCCCCTCCATCACACCATTGGTCCAGGTGGCATACTCAACTGGGATATCATGACCGATCTATCCCTTGGGAAGAAACACCACCACGACCGGGACGGCCGAACTATAAGAAGTCGGTCCATCCGAACTGACTGGCCGTGAGGCGTGCAGGCCTTCATCCCGGTCTAAATTCATTCCGGGCTGTGCTTGGCTCGGTCCAAACGCACCACTGCGGATCCAACCGAAGACTTAGCCGAGTCAAAAGCTCGGTTGGGCACATGCATGTCTTCGCATTGCAGTCAGCGACATAGCTCGGCCAAACGCGATAGCCCGAGAGGCCGTGCCGATTCGGTTGGGTGCCATAGCCCGGCGCAAATCTCCCTCTCAATTGTCCCTTATTCCCATCCGAGCTGAGCGTGATTTGGGATTATCATTCTGACCGAGCCATCCAAATTGGTCGATCGTCGGGGATTGCCCCAGTAGTCTAGTCGTCGATCGTACAACCGTACTGACACAGCCATCTTTTCGATGCCACGTGGCTTCACACCATTGGTTCTGTGCAGACCCATAGCTGTCTTCGTCACGCGCAAATTTCAAAAGGTTTCGGCCCTTTGGCTTCCCCGCTCCTTTATATACGCACATGAGGGGTCACATACGCCCCTACTGTTCATCTTCTGTCTCGAGCCAAACCGTAGCCTTCAAGTTTCCAAGCTTCTACCATCACTGCTCCTCCAGTCGTTCTTGACCACCTTCGTCCTCTCAAAGGCTGTAGACAAGATCGTGGTTAACTGCTCCTCACTTGGCGTCCATATCGGTAAGTTTACCTGCCGCTCCTTCGTACTCGTCATTTACGTTTTTCATGTTCTTGCCTGGGACTGTTAGAATCTTACCAGTGCCCCCTCTTTGGGGTAATACTGGTACACCTTAGGAAAAACTGGAATCAGAGAAGCAGATGGGGCTCCCATGCCCCTTGTTTCCCCTAGTTTCGATGCACGGACTTGACACTTATAAGCATGCTATTGTTGGATATTTATGAGTTTATTTTGAGGGCATTACAATACACTTTAACAAGTAATTTTTAACACATACAATGTGAATGGTCTAAGAGACAATTTTGAATTTTATGACCTTTTGTCATATAACACACTTTAACAAATATTCTTAACACATCCAGTGTGAATGCTTCAAGAATCCCGAAGATTGAGGTTTGGAGTGTGGTTTGCTTTGTTGCTTTTACTTGTATGCTTAGCTTGAATTCATAGCCATCCAAATTCTTCGTCCATTTGCCTCTTTTCAGATTGGAGTCCTGCTAGTCAACCCGGAATTGTTATGATACATAAAAATGAAAAAGAAAATATTTGAGAAAAAAAGATAGTTAAATCGAAATGGAGAGGCAGATGGAATTACTAGCCTAGTAGAACAATTGGATGTGCAACTCCATCGATGGGCTTATGAAACAAATCACAAGCAAGACGATCGATCTCGATCATCTTTAAGTGATCGACCCTTGGAATGATCTAGTTCAATTTCAGTAACAAAAAAAAGTATCAAAAATTAATCACAATCAAAGAAATCAAGTACATATATGTAGAGATCCATACCAGTATTCTGGTAAAATTGCTTATTCGCTGATTTCATCGATGGAATTTTCGAGACTCTCTCTTCATCTCCATCTCCATCTCCATCTCCATCTCCATCTCCGTCACCAATGGCTTCTTCTTCGCCTTCGGCTGCTTCTTCTCCTCCGTTGTTGGTTTATTCTCGTCACAAGGCTCCCCATCACCAATTGTTTCTACTCCTATTGTTGCTCCTTCTGCTTCTGACAACTCTGATCTTGCTATACACCATTATCCTCCTTGTGATCGTCGTCATCCAAACAGGTTGGGTTGGTCTAATACATGTTCTTTTGCTTTGTATCGTACTTTTTTGTCTGTTATTCACTCTTTTTCAGAACCTCAGTCTTGCAACAAGGCCTGTTAGGATGAAGGATGAGTTATCTGCTTTACAGAAAACTAGCACTTGGGAGTTGGTTCCTTTGCCTGCTGGTAAGAATCTGGTTGGTTACAAATGGGTCTACAAAGTCAAGACTCATTCTGATGATTCTCTTGAGCGCTACAAAGCTCGTCTGGTTGCCAAAGGTTTCTCACAGGAGTATGGTGTTGATTATGAGGAGACCTTCACTCTTGTTGCCAAGATGACTATTGTCCGTACTTTGATCTATGTCGCTGCTGTTCGTTCTTGGCCTCTTTATCAGATGGATGTTAAGAATGCTTTTCTTAATGGCCATCTCACTGAGGAGGTTTACATGAGTCCTCCTCCTAGCCTTCACCATTCCTCTGGACAGGTTTGTCGCCTTCGGCGTGCTCTGTATGGTCTGAAGCAGTCTCCTCGTGCTTGGTATGATCGCTTTTAGATTGCTGTTACTGAGCTTGGGCTTCATCCTTGTGCCCAGGACTCTGCTTTATTTTTTCTCCACAACTCAGCTGGATTTGTTGCATTATTACTGTATGTGGATGATATGATCATCACTGGCTCTGACTCTTCTGCTATCTCTGAGGTCAAACAGGATCTCTTCCGCACCTTTGAGATGAAGGATCTTGGTCCTTTGCGGTATTTTCTTGGCATTGAAGTTGCCTCTTCTCCAAAAGGCTATTTTTTGTCTCAGGCTAGTATGCTAATGAGGTCATTCACCGTGCTAGTCTTACTGATACTAAGATTTATGATACCCTTACTGAGCTTAGTGTGAAACTCAACTCTACTGATGGTGTCCCATTGGATGATTCTACTTTATATCGCAAGCTTGTGGGTTGCTTAGTTTATCTGACAGTTACTCGTCATGATCTTGCTTATGCTGTGAATGTCGTTAGCCAGTTTGTTTCTGCTCCTCATTTTCCACATTGGGCTGCATTGGTTCGGATTCTTCGCTATCTCCGAGGTACTATCTTTCAGGGTTTACTATTATCCTCTACTTCTTCTTTGGATTTAGTGGCCTATACTGATTCTGATTGGACTGGTGATGTTACTGATCACAAGTCCACGTCTAGTTTCTGTATGTTTCTTGGCAATTCCTTAATCTATTGGAAAAGCAAGAAACAAACTGTTGTTGCTCGCTCTACTGCCAAAGCTGAGTACCGTGCTATGGCTCATGCTACTACTAAGATTGTTTGGCTTCGTTGTCTATTATCTAATTTGGGTGTCTCTCAGTCTTCTCCGACCTCCCTTTATTGTGACAACCTCAATGCTATTCAAATTGCCCACAATACTGTCTTCCATGAACGAACGAAACACATTGAGATTGATTGTCACTTTGTCCGACAGCATCTGCAGTCTGACTCTATCTCGCTTCCTTTTGTCTATTCGGCTTTGCAATTTGCAAATTTCTTCACCAAGACTCACACTACCGCTCAGTTTCAGTTTCTTCTTAGCAAACTCTCAGTATTTTTTGCTAAAACACCTTGAGTTTGATCGAGGGTGTAAGAAATATATTGTGTATAGAATTAGGGAAGATTGTATTGTATATAGAATTAGGAAAGATTGTGGTAGTGTAACTATTTGGCTGTATTTCCTTTTTCATATTTTCTTTTTTCCATCATAGGTTTAGGGTTATATAAACTAGTGACCTCCTTGTAAAGATACACAATTAAATATACAGAAAACCATTCAGAAAACTTACACAAACATCGGTAAACTAGATTGATCCACCTGGACCATTAGGTTGGCCAAAGCCCAAAGCACAGCGCAGCCAGGCTGGAAGAGCTCAACCGGACACCTAAGGGAGCACTCCCTGGGAGAACTACCACCTGGAATAAGTACCAAGGCCTTCAACTCAACCCAACTCAAGGCCACAACAAAGGATTACACATCATCAAAATCCCCAAGTGCTGAATAAAACAGTTAGGGGAGATTCTTGCACCACATGGAGGGAAACGGATGAGCTCATATGGCGGATGCACTTAACAGAATTGTGGTCCCCCCACTCACTCTACATTTTCTTCTCTATTCCTTCCTGAATCCTTGACTTTGGCATCGGAGGGGTTTTCTAGTCAACCCTGGTAAGGTTGCTCTCACCGTGTTCTTAGTGTTGCAGTCTTACAGCCTTGCAGGTCTCGGTTCTTGGATAACCAGATTGGTTACGGAGCTCCAATTCATTAAACAGTAAAAAACTCACTCTCGCAGAACTCAAAAGTACAGAAAAAAAAAAGGTACAGATGCACAATACAAGGGAAATTGTGAATGATGTATGCCATATAAAAGATAAACCGCCATTCTAATCTAATAGATATGCAAGAAATGATCATATTTCTCACAGTAGGAAACTATTGTTTGGAAACTCTAAAGAAAGAAAGAAAGAAAGAAATAACATTATAAACATATACTAAATGTAAAAATGAAATTGAAAGAGTAAACATAATTATCAAGCAAGGACATGGACTTGAATCCTTGCAAATTTCCATAATAATCAGTGTACAGCACAGAATGACCTATATGAAATGTCAAGCAACACGGAACAGAACAAATGTCAATAAGATACCAAGAATGAACAAAAATGTAGAACTACAAACCTAGATCCGATTAAAAAACATTGTGAGTTAAGAAAAAATAAAAAGAAAAGGAAAAAGAAAAGGAGAAAAGAAAGGAAAGAGAAAAAAAAGGGAAAACAAACTTAAACTTCAATTTCACGACACAAATCCACATAACCTTGGCTCAACCCCATGACCAAGATTTACTGTTCTGATGACTAGAAATCCATCCATAAAAGAAAAGAATACTTGAACCTTCTAAAAAGGTTACATGGAAATGAAAACTGAAGAAGATCAGCATAATTGGTAATGAACAGTAGACAACAATATCCCATTGTCATATTAATCCAAATTCAGTTACAAGTTACGAAAATATTAATCTAAGTAATACCTTCTACACAAATTAACTTCTTCACTGCAATCAACCTTTCCCAACAGAATGCGGCCATCCATGTCTGGGTTGTATCTAGAAAATGTGTTTGACATCAGATTTTGGACGGAACCTAGTCAAAATAATGCTTGTAATTGCATTTTCAGAAGAGTACAACTAGACCTTTCTCTTATAATTCCGGCTGCTTTCTCCCATGAAGGTTTCTGAAACAAACAGACACATAAGGCAAAGGGTAACAAAAGTGATACCGAAGTACACAACACCATTGAAATTGTAGAATTTTGAGATGGATACTTTCCAATCAATTCCCAAGTTCATGGTACTCAATACGTGCATAAATGTAGTTCCTTGGGACAAGTAAACATTTTTTCTTTAAAAATAAATATTGAAAGATAAACAAAAACATAAGCATTACGCTTCAGCTAGTAATGGTTCAATGTAAACCATTTCAGCTAAACTGAATCAAGGGGAAAATGAGAATAAAAAACAAGCCTCTGAGAGGGCAATTAAAATTGAGATAGTACCCAAACTATAATAAAACTGCATAACAAGTGTGTAATGGTTCTTCCACCATTGTGTCAATGTGGTTCAATGGATCTTGAGAAACCATAATGACAGGCATCACATGGCCTCTTTCCTAGAGATTTTGTGAGTCAACAGTGAACAAACCAAAGTGCGAGCCCTCTTGGTGGCTCTAAAGAAGTCAAACACAATCTATTTTTGAGATATATGTCACATGGACTCTTCTAAATTTGAGAAGTACCCAAGTCGAACACTTGATACTTGAATAAGGGAATGGGTATGTCTCCGATATGCCTAGTTGGACTTGCACCAAACAAATATGTAAGAGTAGCAAAGTTTACGATAAAATGCTACATTTTAGTACATAAAATGCTATATTTTAGTTTGTAAACCTCACTTTACCCTTAAAAATAAAAGAAATGTTTAAGAAAAATAAAATATAGAGGTGTCCTAGTTTCCTTGACATGAGAATTAGATGAAACTGACACTAGGACTCATACCCACACCTGGCACCTGCACCCAAATCCTAAGTTCCCCCATCCTGCTATTTTCATGTGAAGCAAATCCTAAAGTTGTGAGACATCTTTCCTTCCATTGCCCTTTGGACTATTCCCTGCTAATTCCTGTTATAGACCCAATCAAAAGTTAGAACGCCTGGAGAGGAACAGATCTTGACTAACAACTCAAAAAATTTAACCTCCTAAGGGGTAAGTAATATGGATGTTTGAAGTACCAAAGGCAACATGAAATAAAAGTGTAAGTGGATATCTGGACGACATTTCTGATCATAAAGCCAGTAATAAAAGAATAATGAAATAGATGAGGCAGCAGGGTCAACCAGAAATTTCAGTAAATATATCGTTGTCTAGGTGGCCTTGAAGTTTGAGCAACCAATCCAACTAAAAAATTGAAAATATACAAAGAAGATAGAAAATTACCAAGCGATTACTCCAATGGCACCAAGGAGCATAAAAATTGACAACCAAAATTGGGTGCCTGAAAAGAAATGTTCAATTGCAGCTGCTGACATGAAATAAAGAAAATTCCCAGGACAACACATCAAAGCACAATAATACCAGGGTTTAAAAATCAAATTGTCACCTTACCTATGTGCAACTCTATCAAAATTATGTTCACTTAGTACAAAAGAACCTTCAGCATACTCTTCATCAACTTCATCATCATGCTTAATCATTCTTGAAATTAGCCCTGTGTGAAACTCAAAGCCAGTAGGTTTTAAATCTGGATCTATCGGATACTTGCGGATTGTTTTCGTAATACACAAATTCAGGCCCGTTCAAATTGCACAGAGATACCAAAAGAATATTGACTAACAATTCACAGTCGGAAAGCAGAAGTAAATGAAAGATACAATATTCTAAAAGAATGGAACAATAACCAACTGAAATGATCTTGCTAATTCACAATATAAGCAACAATAAATTGGGAATATATGAAATGGAAGAGGATGCTGGTGGGCAAGTATGGTTCTGACTTGGGTTGATGAGTTCCGAGTAAGGTTAGGATGTCACATGGCATTGTACCTTGGAAAGATTATTATAAAGCATTGGGACAAATTTTGAAGTATACAGGCTTTTTAGTTGGGGATGTGATCCAGTCCATACGAGACTCCATGAAGAGTAGAATTAAATAAGAGAAGATCTCAGAAAGCAATGTCACTCTGAATTGGATCCTTTGGGGACATGCAAGGTCAAGTTTCTAATCATAGTACAATTCAATTTTGTGGTGATTAAGGTTTTGCTATAAATCATATCAACTTTTTATATATTTCCTGATCTTTTCTAGGTCAGAATTTTTTTTTAAATATCATACTTTATGCACATTTTCAGTTCAACCAATCACAACAAAGGAATCACCCTCCAGAACCCAGTTAAACAAGCCTCTCACAGGCTTTCTGCAGGGACTAAATTGTGCTTTAGTGGCAACACCACACCCAACCCAACCCAACCCACTCTAATTTAGAAGAGCAAGGATTTTATTACCTTCATGTCCAAAATACAACATTGGTATGAAAATAGCTTCAATATTCTGAAAAAGGACAACCAAAATTTGAAATTTAAGCAAACTGGCAGCGGATGCATCCCTGAACATAGATCCTATCAACTTTTTGGTTGGAAGAAAAACTATCAAGCTCTTCTAATGCAATCTTCTGAGCTGAAGTCCATGTGAATGTGTAGGAACAAAACTATATATATTTTTTATGAGCATATGTTTATTTATGCAAACTCAAATAAACATAATAACCTCCCGAACAGATACTAGTAAAGATTCCACAAAAATCTCACCTCATTCCCTCTGTTGATATTAGAAAGAAAATTAACTCCATGATAAAAATATAAAGTTGAGGTTGCAAAATCTCATTCTCTTTGGTTAAATAAGAAGCACAACCAATTTTTGTAGAATCACTCACATGATTACATTCGATGCTTGAATTTACTCTTCAAGGAGTAATAAATTGCAGTGAAATGAGTCATTGAAACTTACTGTTCCCAAGATATCACTCACGTCAACAGCAGCGAATTCACACAAGAGTGCAGGGAAGCTACCCCCAAAAAAACAAAACAGAATGTTAGTTCAACAGACCAATCAAAAGTAGAATTAACATTGCAAAATGAAAGTGGAGAAATTGACTGAATACGAGAAACACAACGTACCTGCCCTAAATATTGCAAAACAAGTAGAAATGTAAAATATCAACAAAAAAAAAAAATTTAAAAATAGTTTGTAGGAAATTCATAGAAAAAATTTCAAGAGTATTACGTATCAACATAGTGACTACAAAGGAAGGTGACGAAGGTTCTGCACAAACAATTTCATGACCTCCAATATAGTAAAAGCACTGAATTTTATGTTCATTTATAGGTGTGGGTTCTTACAACTGCTTGTTGCAATATTTAAAAATTTGAGCAAAAACAAGGAGAAAATTCGAATGAATGTTGCTTAATAAGAAATAAAATTAGGTCCACAACAATACCTAAAATTAAAATCAATGCGCAAGAATTCCCCATCAGAACTCTTGTCAACAATTACAGATGTAGATGTGCTCACTATAAAATAGTTATTTAGTTCCTGCAAAAATAAATTTGAGATTTAATTCTGTATAGAAAGTAAAACCACAAAAACAATTAAGCATACTATGATACTAGTATACTACTTTGTGAAAAGAGAGACACATGCATTCATGTAATGCAACTAGGACAGGAAGTGAATACCTAAAATAAAAAATGTGACAACTAATAAATGAAAGAAGAAACCAACAAAAACTTAATGCAATTTTTTAAGAGCAGTGATACATCAATATAGACTTGAATCAAACTCATTTTTCATGTAATGATGAATAGTCATGATCTACATATCACATCCATAAATCTCCAATGAAATAAAAATGAGCTTCCTACCATTCCAAATAAAAATATCATGGAAAAGGCGGCGATTATTGATAATCCAGCACCTGGTAATGATGCCTCTGTCAAATCTCTAGGAATTTTCCTGAAAAATAAAAAAATAATTATGAATGAAAATAAAATGAAACACGGAAAAAAACCTCAATAAAAACAATCATCAATAACCATGGGAAGACATAATATTTGACGCAAAACATGTACTTTGCCACAGGCAACCAAAACCAAAGGGAAAGAAAAAGAATAGAAGAGGCCACATCTGGGAGGATCATCACATTGTTTCCTTCCTTATATTATCTGCAAATTTTAAAATAAAATTGAAATAGAATAATCTCTTATTGTCAAGTCACCAATTGTCCCAAAAGCTCAAGTTGTCACGAAATAGGCCCAACAATGTATATCAAGCTATCCAACACCCTCCGTCAACCAACAACCAACAGAGAAACATACTTAAGGTGCCCTGATTTCTAAATTCCTTCAAGGACTAGTTGTTCCTCTGCCTTTAAATGCATCCCATAAAGCACAAAGTAGCCACAACCCATATTTTCCGCTTGCTTCTAATAATTTTTACTCCTAGCAAATCAGTCAGACCTCATGAATACCAAAAGTCATATTAAAAGACGAAAGTGCCACACATCTACCACCTATATATAGTGAGATGATAATTCACCATATCCTGCTCTAATTTCATATGTAGAGAGAGAGAGGATGCAACCAAATCTGGAAATGATAAAATCTTATGCATTTTATAACTAATTTGGCATTGCTCGAGCAGTGATTCAATATTTGCAGTTCTACAAATACATGCTTCAGATCCTACACACCCTTATATACTGCTGGACCACCACTCAAGCGGTGAATCCCCAGTCTCTGAATTTTGAAATGGCGAACTGCGTCAACCTGTCAACAGCAGTTCAGAAGCTATAGATGATGTGCTGACTTGCTTGCAACTTTAAGTCCATGGATGGGATTCACTGAATGTAAAGTCAAAAGGTCTTACATTACAAGAGCTATGCTACATACAACTCAAATTAATTTGGATTATAAAGCAATAAAGCACATAAGGCCATGTTTGGCAATTGGTTAAAATAGCCAAAAAGTAAAAAGCCAAATCATTCTCTCTACATTTTTTACACGTCTTTTCATAAGAAATAAAAAAAACTATTGAAAAGTCACTTCTCAAACAAACCCATATTATGTCAAACCCATATTATGTCAAGGTTATATGGGATTGCCAAACTACACTAGAGAAGACTCTATGGCCTAACCCATATTATGTCAAGGTTAGACTCAATCCATCCTCCCAGCAGCCTCAATTTCAGGGACTGATCACTATAGAGAATCTCCTTTTAATTCAATATTAAAAACAAAACAAAACAAAACAAAATGTCATAAAAACCTAACACAACCATCCTTTTTTAGCAAAAAGCATTATGTTCTATACCTGTTATTAGAAACTCGACCTGAACATTCGAACCTAGGCGAACTAAATGCTAAGTCCATTGAGAACCAAAACCCAACGCTTCAAGAACAATGACAAGTCCTGATATCAATCAAAACGTATAACAAAAACCAACAAAAATAAAAAAATAAAAAACTGTAATTCTATATACATTATATCTTACTCGGATCTAACAACAACGACTCAAATAAACAACTCTAAAAATGTATGTATTCATGAAATAAAGGAGAAGAACAGAGAGAGAAGGGAAAAAATATCAAACCCACATCACACCAATCAATAAAGTGTACATAACCTTGAAGCGAATGTAAAATAAAGAGCTGCAGGAAGCCCGAAATTGGGGCCTTTCTCGCTCATCTCACTTTTTCAAATTTCAAATTTTAAAACACACACTCACTCTCTCTCTCTCCCCTCAAAACACACTTTGCTACCCCAAGAAGAGGCCAAATCTATAAAGGCCAAAAAAATAATCCTGCCATATTAAGTGTTTGAGACGTGAGAGAAAGAGCGAGAGAGAGAGCGAAGAGTATTTGGGCGGGAATCAAGTGTTTGGTACATTTGAAAGGATTGATCTTAACCATTGATATAAACTTAGAATTAATTTAGACCATTAAAAATCATTTTGGACATTTTTTAAAATCATCCTGCCATATTATATAGATTTACCTTTGCCATTGTCACTATGTCAGGCACAATGCCTTGGGTCTCAAATCCCCAAAAATGGCTCCCAGTGTGAGCAAACCTAGATTGAACCTTATCAGCAATACAAAGCCCTCCTGTATTTTCAATATGTATTTTATTACTTTTTAGTCAACTTTTTAAATATTTTAATCAACATTTTTTACTTTTTCAGATCCATTCAATCTGAATACACTTAAAAATTATAAAATTTAGAGTAATGTTATAAAATTTACACTTAAAAATTTTTTAAATAATTTTTACAAATTTAAAATAAAATTTTATGATTTTGCATGATTTATGTATTTTTATGTATTTTAAGTATTTGAACTCAAATTATAGTAAATAATACATTTTAATTATTTTTTTTATATTTTATATAAAATAAATACTAACAAAAACAAGAACAAATTATTTAGCACATGCAACAAGCCCTTAATCCAATAGATTATCCCTTATGGACGAGTTAAAGTCTCGTGTTTCCAAAGATGTTACCCACAAATATCCAAAAATTTCTTTACTAAAACGACTTCTTTCATTCTCATGCCAAGGTTAAAGAACCAGACATGAATTTCACAACCTTAACAAGATAATCAATCAAAGTTCAAAAGACTAGCAGCAAGTAAAGATATTGCATGACATTCAAAATTTGGAGTGTGTGAAAAAAGTTCAACCAACACAAACACAACCTTAGCCTTAAAGTGAAATATAACCCAAATCTAATCTATAAAGGCCAAAAAAATAATCCTGCCATATTAAGTGTTTGTGACATGAGAGAGAGAGAGAGAGAAGAGTATTTGGGCGGGAATCAAGTGTTTGGTACATTTGAAAGGATTGATCTTAACCATAGATATACACTTAGAATTAATTTAGACCATTAAAAATCATTTTGGACATTTTTAAAAATCATCCTGCCATATTATATAGATTTACCTTTGCCATTGTCACTATGTCAGGCACAATGCCTTGGGTCTCAAATACCCAAAAATGGCTCCCAGTGACCTCATCGGCAATACAAAGCCCTCCTACTTTCTTAATACTGCTGTATACAGCAGGGAAGTAACCTGGGGCTAATTCAATAATTCCACCCACTCCCTGTCATTTTAGAGAGTAGTTCAAATTAGACAGTAACTCGGAAGAGGTAATATTAATAGGAAAATGATATTCTCACACAATTTTTGTTCAGAATTTAAGACAAATAATGTGGCAATAACACTCTTGCAATTATGAACCATAGTGATGGGCATTTGACTATCAATGTAGGGATATAAATGCGACACATCATTTTGCATAAATTTTTGTGTTAAATCCTGTGTGTACATCATTACCCTAATCAATATAGCCACAAAAAGAAACAATAAAAACAAATTTACATAGACGATGCTTACCTGTATGGCTTCAGAAATAAAACCAGCTACATGCCCTGAAGTTCTAAAGGTAATGAGATCTTCAACATCTCTTGCATACTTCTCCCTGTCTGAACCAAAGACTCCACTGTATGGATCTGGGTTAAGGGCAAGGTGAACTCCGCTCTGTTGACCAATCCAAAAAGAATGCCAGGATTAGGGGACTGGATTATCTGTAATAATAATTTGGGGTAAACATAATAACCTCCCAAACAGATACTAGTAAAGATTCCACAAAAATCTCACCTCATTCCCTCTGTTGATATTAGAAAGAAAATTAACTCCATGATAAAAATATAAAGTTGAGGTTGCAAAATCTCATTCTCTTTGGTTAAATAAGAAGCACAACCAATTTTTGTAGAATCACTCACATGATTACATTCGATGCTTGAATTTACTCTTCAAGGAGTAATAAATTGCAGTGAAATGAGTCATTGAAACTTACTGTTCCCAAGATATCACTCACGTCAACAGCAGCGAATTCACACAAGAGTGCAGGGAAGCTACCCCCAAAAAAACAAAACAGAATGTTAGTTCAACAGACCAATCAAAAGTAGAATTAACATTGCAAAATGAAAGTGGAGAAATTGACGGTGGGGGCTAGTATTGGGTGGTAAAAAAAAAAAACTGAAAACTCAAAATTGAAACAAATTTTTTGTGTTTCATTTTTTGGCTAAATTTATAAACTGAGACCACTGATTTATAAATTAAAAATTTTACCAAATAAGTTTTTATTTGAGTTTTTTTAAATTTTTGTAAATATAAACAAAAAACTGAAAACGTAAGTGTTACCAAACGACACCTAGTGTTTGAGACGTGAGAGAGAGAGAGAGAGAGAGAGAGAGAGAGAAGAGTATTTGGGCGGGAATCAAGTGTTTGGTACGTTTGAAAGGATTGATCTTAACCATTGATATACACTTAGAATTAATTTAGACCATTAAAAATCATTTTGGACATCTTTAAAAATCATCCTGCCATATTATATAGATTTACCTTTGCCATTGTCACTATGTCAAGCACAATGCCTTGGGTCTCAAATCCCCAAAAATGGCTCCCAGTGTGAGCAAACCCAGATTGAACCTCATCGGCAATACAAAGCCCTCCTACTTTCTTAATACTGCTGTATACGGCATGGAAGTAACCTGGGGCCAATTCAATAATTCCACCCACTCCCTGCCATTTTAGAGAGTAGTTCAAATTAGACAACTCGGAAGAGGTAATATTAATAGGAAAATGATATTCTCACACAATTTTTGTATAGAATTTAAGACAAATAATTTGGCAATGACACTCTTGCAATTATGAACCATAGTGATGGGCATTTGACTATCAATGTAGGGATATAAATGCGACACATCATTTTGCATAATTTTTTTTGTGTTAAATCCTGTGTGTACATCATTACCCTAATCAATATAGGCACAAAAAGAAACAATAAAAACAAATTTACATAGACGATGCTTACCTGTATGGCTTCAGAAATAAAACCAGCTACATGCCCTGAAGTTCCAAAGGTAATGAGATCTTCGACATCTCTTGCATACTTCTCCCTGTCTGAACCAAAGACTCCACTGTATGGATCTGGGTTAAGGGCATGGTGAACTCCGCTCTGTTGACCAATCCAAAAAGAATGCCAGGATTAGGGAACTGGATTATCTTTAATAATAATTTGGTTGCATTGCATTTGTGAATGTTAATTTATGATTACTTGGTTCTTTAGTTAAGAATAAATACAATATAAGGTAAGATTGGAAGCTTCACAAAATAATTTTTCTTCAATATGTTTAGTATCTTCAGCAATATCAACTGTAAAGTGTAAATGTTAACATAAAGCTACCAATGGTAAAATAAGAAAGTAAACAACACAATAATCATGCAAATAACAAACTAAATTAGGATATCCTCTAAGTTAACCTGTAAGTCTGTATTGGCCAC